TAGGTAAAACAAAGAAAGGATGGGATATTTGACATATTGTCACGACTGATCTAGATATCGATCATATCAATTTCAAACTGATTGCACGTAAATTTGAATCTATAATATTCGCGGACATCGAAATTTAGTGACATTTTATTCGATTTATTGGGTAACGTCAAATAATTTGGTCTGCAGTCAACGTTATTAAAAGATTTTCAGTAACCTTGATCTGCAGTACACTTTCTTTATTTCTAGTACATTTTTCGTCTAACAGTTGGTACAAATTAAAAATGTTTAGTAACAAGCCTGGTTGAGAAATTCCTTCAACATTAGCATCAGTTAGTTTCGGCCATGCTGGTACCATTGTACCAGATCTGGTACATTTCAATGTGAAAAGTACGTATGTAAAACATTCCAAATTTGACACATAACCACGTATTAATTAATTAATAGACTAAAAAAATATTAAAAATCAATTTTAAAGAATATACGCGCCAATATTCTTGGTAAAAAATGATCTAGTTGTGTGGACCGAAAGCATGTAGGTTTTCTTTACTCTTGCGCCATCCCCTCTGTAGACCCTGATACCTCGTAAAGATTAAGGGTGAGTCCTTCCATACATATTATCTATGATCTAAGGCCACCTGATGTGAACTTCTGTGATGTGAATCATATATCATATCATCATTATCATTATTATCCCAGATTAATAATCTGGGATATTATATAACCTATAACTGTAATTTATATCATGTAAATTTATATAACCTAAAACATTAATTTGCTGTTTCCTGTTTTTAGATCACAATATGGAAGTAAGTAAATGGTATAAGTGTAGTTACCAATGATACGATATTGAATCCAATAGAAATTTGTAATTTAGCAATGTGAGAAGATATAATTTACTAAAAGTGTTTTAACAGAGTGTAATGCAAATATAGTTTGACGTTTTGTATCCCCAAAATCGCCAACGAAATTGAAGATGAGTATACTGATTATGAATCTTCATAAAAGCAAAAGACATGACTTATCCTCACAAATTCAAAGAGATTTGGATTTCCCAATACACATGGCTTGGTTGCAGTGACGACAGGGTCAAAGCAAAACAGCCTTGTCAACACCAGACACGAAGGCCTATTCTTATTGCAATATTAATGATGAAAAAGCTGTAAGGCACACAAAAGCAATGTTTCCTAGTGAACTAAAGTTAGTTATGTTTCTACATGAACATCCATCCATTTCTTTTAATAGCGCATCTCCCCTATACTTCTTCAGTATGTGTGTCCATACTCCTAAACAGCAAAACATAACATGTAGCCGAACTGTAATGTATTTTAATTATATATAGAAATATAAAACATTTACTATTAATTTAGAATTATAAGTCATATTTTATTTTATTATTGTATTTCAGAATAAGGAAAAACACGTAATAATTAGTATAATGTTAGATAAAATCCTATCTTAAACAGTTACATTAGGTCACGTCCGCACAAACATATTATTTGTATACTATCTGTAAGTCCTAATGATTATTTACTTAAATTAGAATAGTTCCGCAAACATCCTCTTCTCCTATGTACTCAGACTGTAAACACATTAATTATTGTACATTCATAATAATCAATAAGCACTTTCAGGAAGCTGCTTATCAAAGTTTATCAAATATTAACAATAGCTAGAGCTTAAAACCAGGAGGACGAGAGAAGTTGAGACAGTCAGTCAGTCAGTCAGTCAATGAGTTAAGTCGAACAAGCTAACCAATTCATTCTAAATCAAGTTGTTACTCAGTTAGTCTATATCAACGCGACATTACTAGATCATCGTTTCTACTCCATTGTAACCTGAATATCTACGTAAAATATAAGCTAGTGTAATATATTAAAATAAATTAGTGTTAAACAACAACAGCTGTGTTTCTTCTGATATTACGACGAGTAGCCCATTACAGAACTAAGGCAACACTTATTACCAGTTATTGCATGTCTAAAGAAAGTTTATTAAAGCTGGTTATAGAATAGCTGACTGTAAGACTTATGGCGAATAACGTATCACGTAAACAAAAACCAGCATCTGATTTAAACGGGTTCTTACACAATATGCTCATAAAACGTAAGACTTTATGTAAAATGTGGAAAATTTCAGTAAGGATGAATTCCTACGTTTGACAAAAAAGTGCCAATAATGAGAATTGTTCTCGCAAGCAAGGTCTTTTGATTAAATGACTTTGTACAGATTTCACGACATCACGACCGATCTAGCCACAAATATTACTGTAGTTTCATGTGGTTAGTTTCCTCGTACCAGTTAAATTATAAAGAGTTTGTATTTGTTTCATTATCATATTATGGTAGGTACCATTAATTTAAAAATTTCTAGATTACAATAAATATGGATCATAATTATGAAGAATCACAAATATCTGATTGTGGAAGAAGGCGAGTTATTTATTCATTTGATAAAAAGTTACCCTCATTTATTTGACAAAAAAGCCATTAATTATAAGGACGTTATAATGAACAATAACTCTATTATGAATTGGACAGGTAAGAAGATAGTTTAGTTTTATAAGTAGGTATTAAGGTAGATACTGTATTGTATGTTTTGTGGTAGGTACTACTGAAATAAATTGTTGTGAAATATAATTTATACGTCCTTTGTATATTGTATACTTTTACATTATTTTATTCATTTACAGTGGATGACAGAGCCATCTATTGGCTCGTATTAAGAAAGAAGTTTGGAAAAGAACTAAAAAATGTATTAACTCGAGAAAGTATGTTTTTAAATTTAAAATATAAGTAACAATATATCTACCTACTTCTATTTTTTGGCAGACATATTAACAACATATTATATACACAGGAACCTACAACTGTTGTAGATAATAATGCTGTAAATGTTAGTGGTAGGTATATTTGGAAATAAGGGCAAATCTAGTATCGTACAATAAATGCTTCTAGAAATTAGACATTAGCATTTTTATTGACATATTTATGTGTATTGTGAAATGTTTTGTTTCGAGTATCATTTCTTTTGCAGAAGACAGTAGTGTACGGTTTTACGTACAATAAAGTTTATTTGTGACTCTAAGAACTGACCTGACCAAGGGAAGGGTAAAACCCTCCCCGGTTTAGTAGGTAGGGAATTTGTAGAAGAACATTTATATTTATTGTAAGTAATGTTTAATAAAAAATATGTAAGGCAGTAATTTGTTGTTAATTTATGTAATAAATATATGGACATAACCTCACTTATTAGTAAAAAAATATAATATGTAGGAATCCTCTTTTTAACCTTGACACAGATCAAAAAGAAGTACTTAACTCTTCTTCATCACCTTAATATCACAGGATAATATTTTTTTTTGGTGCTACTTTTAAAATATTACCACTGACAAAAAACAACGATAACATCGTTTTGCAGAATTCCCTTGAAAATAGAAACTTTGAAAATAATGTTAAAGAGCAAATTTCTAAAGAAAATTATTTAAATTCTGCTGTTTGGAATTTAACAGATTATGTCCAAGATGTAGTTTCATACATCGTTGGATTTGTTGTGAGTCAACTACAAAGTACCTTAACGTGTTTAAAACATTTAAGTATAATTGAATGTAAAGTTTCATAGTCCATCCTTTTGATAAGAAAGGAATATAAGCAATAAACAAGACCATCCCTGTTTGTAATCAGTATTTGTAAGGCAGGTGAACATTATTTTCGATTTTTTAATAAAACTACTGGCATAGCTATTTAATAAAAAAATAAATCAGTTGTTGCCAGTTCTAATTAAAAATACTTTATCAAATGTACCTTGTATATAATGATTTTGGTGAACATTTTTGATGAAGAACCCCTTACAGGACATGCTATTATTTTAATTAAGTTAATTTTGAAAAAATATTTTACCATTACGATTAGGTACCATGAAACAGTAAAAAAATTAAATAAAAAAACTTATCGAGTTAGAAGGTCTCTAACGAAACTGATTCTTTTAAAAAATCAATAACTATTAATTGTTATGATAAATATTATAAATATTTTTGGAATCAATGTATTTTCTCGTGCATATTTGCCTTCCATTACTAATGACGTAACCTATAATGGCAAAGGGCAGTTTTTATGGAAAAAAGACAAACAAAGACGTTGCCAGATGATGAATTGTAGTGGAGAACATTTTGTATTAAATGTAATCTAACTTTGTGTAATAGTTGTTTCCCCAAACTTCATGTTAAAGCTTAACTAATGTAAGTAGTTTATGTATATTTAAATATAAATGTTCTAGCTTCCTCTCGTATTTTTATTATATGAATGACCAGCGCCCTATTTATCTGACAGTATTTTTTGTTAACTTTAAAAATTCATTTCGCAATTTTGGGTAAGTATAGCAACAGTACCTATTAAGGGGCATTATGTATATTTTTGGAAAAAATTAATGTGGGCTTTAATGGATTAAGTCAAGCGGCAGAAGTAAATAGACAAAATAATTTGCAAATGTTAATACAGAGTCTTCAATTAGATAGAATTAATTAACTGGAAAATCTATGAAATGTAAAACGTATGTTGGTTGTGACGAGCTCTCAAATACGTACGAGATAAATTAAATAACCTATATGAAATATGTAGTAAATCCACTCACCAGATTCCGTTTCCTATTTTTATCCGTTGTAAAACTATATTACTCAAAAAACACAATACACCAACTGGCAAAATAATGTGAAAGTATTCTGTCAACGGATATGGTAGGACTGAAGGACTGATCGACAACTGATACCTCTTTACCTGGTTTTAATAGTGAGGGGCAGGTACTTCTAAAGTAGGCCCTAGACTATCAAGCGGCTTGATCAAATGCTTGAGCAAATTGATTGTATCAAGCGTGATTGATAGTTTAGAAACCCGTTTGAAGCTTGAAGCATTGACGGTGATTGATAAAAAGTTTGAATGACTCAAGCGGATGGTCAAGCCGCTTGATAGTCTAGGGCAATTTCCATCAAGCATTGCGTCAGTCAAGCGGTGGAAGGCATGGCGTCCACTTCGGAAAGCGAGGTTCGCGAAAACTCGGAGCGGGAATTCATCAGTTTGTTGATCGAATTATATCGCGATTGTCCGGAATTGTGGAAAGTGAAGAGCAAGGATTATTTCAATAGAAATAAAAAAAGTGCGGCGCTAGAAAAAATCGTGGGGGCATTGAAAAAGATAAAACCCGATTTCAGTGTGATACAATTGAAACAAAAAATTAATGTTCTCAGAACAAACTTCAACAGGGAGTTCAAGGCCATCGAGGGTAAAAAAGTGTCAGGGACGTCTACAGACGATATCCCTGAACCTTCGCTTTGGTATTACAATGATATGCACTTCATAAAAGACCAGTTGGAAATCGCACAAACCGAAACTTCTGAGGTAATAATTTTATTTCATTTTATTTTATTTCTTTTACAGTATTTATAATTATTGTATATCACGAGTAATGTTACACAAGGCAATTGTTTTGCCATGGAACTGACCCAGACGTGTTGAAAAATTTGCAGAAGTCATCCCTTATTCTTTTTGCCTCTACTGTAGAATTGCCTTTGGTTCTTTGAAGTTGTGCCATCTCTTGAATGTCTTGCCTCCATGACCCAGATTCCCCAGCACCAGTCACAATATCGTCTCTGTCAATATCCTGAAGTTGCAAATACTTGGCTCTGTTCTTTGAGCACAAGTAGTTGTGCAAATGGCAACATGCCATTACAATTTTCACAGCTTTCGGTAGTTCTAATTTAATGGCATTTTGAAATATTTTGAATCTCTTCGTTAATATACCAAATGCATTTTCAACAACTCTTCTGGCTCGGGAGAGTCTATAGTTGAAAATCCTTTTCTCGTTCGTCAAAACAGCTCTGTTGTAGGGCTTCATGAATTGAGGGAGAAGTTGGAATGCTTCATCTCCAATGAAGACGTACGGAAATTTTTCATTAGGAGTGTATTATAACTCACGAAGATCAGGCATGTCAAGCTGGTTCTGAGACAACTTGCGCCAAAATAATGTGTTCTTCAACGCACACCATCGATGACACTCGGCCATTTGCTCCCACATCAACCATCAGAAATTTATAATTTGCATCAACAATTGCCATAAGCACAATGCTGAAAGAACCTTTGTAATTGTAATAGTAGGTCCCAGAATGGCGAGGTTTTTGGATTGATACGTGTTTACCATCAACGCTCCCCACGCAGTTGGGGAAATTCCACTGTTCTTCGAATTCCTGAGCAATCCGTTTCCATCCATTCTGCGATTTTGGAACCTAGAAGAGAAACAAAAAACGAAACTTGCATTATAACCCTTACATGAAGAATTAACACTGACTGTAAATAGGAATTTAATTATTAAATTGCTGTTGTGCCTAAATTACACCATGCCGGGGAGCCGCACGGTTTTTTCAAACCCTCGGCTGCCGTCCGACAGAAAAACCGACCGGGAAAATTCCGCGCGGCTCTGTAACGCATGGTGTAATTTAGGCTTGTAGTAATTTAAGTTTGTAAGCTTTCATTCACTGTATTGTATTTTTTGTTACAGCAACCGACTCCGGTCCTTCTTCTCGATGTCTTGGCGGACTAAATCGAGTAGATTATCGAAACTTTCTTGGTCCATGCGTAGAAAGTTCCTATAATCCTCTGGTTCCGAACCACTCAGAAAGTTAAGGAGATGTTGATGAGTGAAGCGGTTCCTCATTTTATACCAGTCCTTAGACCACCGTCTTTTTTCTTTTTGTGGTTTCTCCCCTTCACAGCAACCAATGTTAAGGCCAGGAAGCCCAAATTCTACATTTGACACCATTATACGCTCCACACTCCTCCACTTCTCAGCTTCGACTGAGAGTTTTGATCAAAAGATTGAAGTGTTGATTGAAGTACGCTTGAAGCGCCCATCAATCGGAGCCTCAAGCATTTGATCAAGCCGCTTGATAGTGTTGGGCCTCTTTAAGAATAGGGAATGAGGAATGNTTCCACAGCACCAGTCACAATATCGTCTCTGTCAATATCCTGAGGTTGCAAATACTTGGCTCTGTTCTTTGAGCACAAGTAGTTGTGCAAATGGCAACATGCCATTACAATTTTCACAGCTTTCGGTGGTTCTAATTTAATGGCATTTTGAAATATTTTGAATCTCTTCGTTAATATACCAAATGCATTTTCAACAACTCTTCTGGCTGGGGAGAGTCTATAGTTGAAAATCCTTTTCTCGTTCGTCAAAACAGCTCTGTGGTAGGGCTTCATGAATTGAGGGAGAAGTTGGAATGCTTCATCTCCAATGAAGACGTATGGATTTTTTTCATTAGGAGTGTCTGATAACTCACCAGGATCAGGCATGTCAAGCTGGTTCTGAGACAACTTGCGCCAAAATAATGTGTTCTTCAACACACCACCATCTGACACTCGGCCATTTGCTCCCACATCAACCATCAGAAATTTATAATTTGCATCAACANTTCCATCAAGCATTGCGTCAGTCAAGCGGTGGAAGGCATGGCGTCCACTTCGGAAAGCGAGGTTCGCGAAAACTCGGAGCGGGAATTCATCAGTTTGTTGATTGAATTATATCGCGATTGTCCGGAATTGTGGAAAGTGAAGAGCAAGGATTATTTCAATAGAAATAAAAAAAGTGCGGCGCTAGAAAAAATCGTGGGGGCATTGAAAAAGATAAAACCCGATTTCAGTGTGATACAATTGAAACAAAAAATTAATGTTCTCAGAACAAACTTCAACAGGGAGTTCAAGGCCATCGAGGGTAAAAAAGTGTCAGGGACGTCTACAGACGACATCCCTGAACCTTCGCTTTGGTATTACAATGATATGCACTTCATAAAAGACCAGTTGGAAATCGCACAAACCGAAACTTCTGAGGTAAGAATTTTATTTCATTTTATTTTATTTCTTTTACAGTATTTATAATTATTGTATATCACGAGTAATGTTACACAAGGCAATTGTTTTGCCATGGAACTGACCCAGACGTGTTGAAAAATTTGCAGAAGTCATCCCTTATTCTTTTTGCCTCTACTGTAGAATTGCCTTTGGTTGTTTGAAGTTGTGCCATCTCTTGAATGTCTTGCCTCCATGACCCAGATTCCCCAGCACCAGTCACAATATCGTCTCTGTCAATATCCTGAAGTTGCAAATACTTGGCTCTGTTCTTTGAGCACAAGTAGTTGTGCAAATGGCAACATGCCATTACAATTTTCACAGCTTTCGGTAGTTCTAATTTAATGGCATTTTGAAATATTTTGAATCTCTTCGTTAATATACCAAATGCATTTTCAACAACTCTTCTGGCTCGGGAGAGTCTATAGTTGAAAATCCTTTTCTCGTTCGTCAAAACAGCTCTGTTGTAGGGCTTCATGAATTGAGGGAGAAGTTGGAATGCTTCATCTCCAATGAAGACGTACGGAAATTTTTCATTAGGAGTGTATTATAACTCACGAAGATCAGGCATGTCAAGCTGGTTCTGAGACAACTTGCGCCAAAATAATGTGTTCTTCAACGCACACCATCGATGACACTCGGCCATTTGCTCCCACATCAACCATCAGAAATTTATAATTTGCATCAACAATTGCCATAAGCACAATGCTGAAAGAACCTTTGTAATTGTAATTGTAGGTCCCAGAATGGCGAGGTTTTTGGATTGATACGTGTTTACCATCAACGCTCCCCACGCAGTTGGGGAAATTCCACTGTTCTTCGAATTCCTGAGCAATCCGTTTCCATCCATTCTGCGATTTTGGAACCTAGAAGAGAAACAAAAAACGAAACTTGCATTATAACCCTTACATGAAGAATTAACACTGACTGTAAATAGGAATTTAATTATTAAATTGCTGTTGTGCCTAAATTACACCATGCCGGGGAGCCGCACGGTTTTTTCAAACCCTCGGCTGCCGTCCGACAGAAAAACCGACCGGGAAAATTCCGTGCGGCTCTGTAACGCANCTCTTTCCAATGTAGTCAAAATAAACATTTGTTATATCAAGCCATACTCAAATACAAGACTTCTATAAGTTCAAATCTGTTATATTACATACATAGAATACATTATTGTGCAGTTGCCAAAAAGTTTTAAGAAGTTTCTTTTAAGTTTCATTAAACTTGTGTATGTACCAATTTCCGTTTCAATTTTCATTGTTTTTTGCTAAATAATTTCCATTTGAAACGAGCAACTGCAACTATACATACAGTATTGCAACAAAATATTATACTCCTTGGAAAACAAATAAATATTAAGTGTCATATTTGAAGCAACAGTTTGACTTATTACAAGTTTATCTACAAACACTTTTGCTTCATCTTGAATATTTTCACTGTTATTAATTATTGTTTTTAAGTTTAAAAAGTTATTTCATTTGATTTGCCAGCTTTTAATTAGTGTAAGATGCCGTTTACATTTGCAAATAGCGAACAAGCCGACATTCATTTTAATTATGGTGTGGGTACACATGTTCGCAAGTGACCCATTTTTAAGTACAACGCCAAGAGCGCCAGCCAGACGCCGCCCGGACGCACCAGGGTTCCCGGAAGACGACCCCGGCAGATTGGCGCCAAGAACCAGGTACTTCTGCGAGTGACTCCACGCCAAGATGACTCTCCAGCGAACCCTCGAACCGACAACACGTCTTTTTCACAAGCTTAGTTTTCAATAAAAATACTTTATTTTACCGTTGAGGGATCGTTTTATTTTTGCTGTACAGCGAAAGCAACCCTCAATGGGTTCGCAAATGGGAATTCAAGGTACGCAGCTAGGGAGAATCGAAGATTTCCAAATAGACGACAACCTCATCATTCCGTTTTTGTGAGTATCCACCGTCGATTTGTTAACCAGGGTTTGAAAGATGTACATAGAGGGTCGATAGAACAACCGTGGACGAGATAGAACTGGAGAGGGTATATTGCGTGAGTTTAATAGGAACCCAACAAGTACTCGACGGACTGTTGTTGCTCTTGGTATTTCCCAAAGTAAAATTTCCCGGGTTTTAAAACGGGATCACAGACGCCCATATCATTTTCAACCTGTTCAAGGTTTATGTCCAGGTGACGCCGAACGAAGACTTATTGTAGGCGGAATATTATCTCCATTCAAAATAGTAGAGGTTTCTTATCCAACGTACTGTGGACTGATGAATCCTGTTTTACTCTGTCTTACTCGTCGTGGTATAGTAAATTTTCAGCATGTATGGGCACATGAAAACCCACATGCCATTCGGTCAAGAAGTTTTCAACATGAATTTTAATACAAATGTCTGGATTGGAATTTACATTAAAAACATGTGTTCTATCTCCTGTTAAAGTTTGTCAACAAAAAACTGACTCGCCCTGTATATATTCACAATTAAAATTCTGTTACGGAAATTTTTGTAGTCCAAAGTAGTCTATATACACAAAATGATAGTGTGAAAGATAATACTAATATGGAAGAAAATATTTGACAAGAGAATAATTTAGAAGAAACTGGAAACACAGATAAGATAATAATATAAATTTTGCCTGTTCCCGAAATTGTTTATATTTATTTATTTTTTTGTTACTTGCTGCTAAAGAAAATGTCTCGGAAAATATACCCCTGAACAGAATTAAAAGAAAAATAGAACATCACCGTACAGAGCAAAAAAACTTGAAAATGGTAAATCAAAGCATCCTATAAAAAAACGATGTTTAGGAAAATGTAAACGCGATTGCAATAAATTATCCGATGCTGATCGAAATAAAATATGGGATCACTACTGGAATTTGAATTATGTAAGTAGATGAAAGTGGTTAAGCAAACTGTTTCTCTTGTTCCTGTTAAGCGTAGAGTATTGTCAGCATCTAGGAATAGAAATGAGTCAAGACTATTTTCTTTGCCGTGTGCTGATTCCACTGACAATGCAGTTTGTCGGCTTACATTCCTAAATACGTTGAGATATACAAACGATTCTATAATAACTGAACTGATGCGAGCTATTAAACAAAAATCTTGTGGAGAGATGGTAAGGGAACGTAGGGGAAATAATAAGAAGTCTATTGACCCAATAATCATTAAGAACCATATTGAATCATTCCACCCTTCTGTCACTCACTATCATCGAAAAAATGCACCATTCCGTAGATACCTTCCTAGAGAATTAACTATTAAGAAATTGTACGATTATTTTAACGAAAAACATCCCATCCCATGGCGTTTTAATGAAATGAGTCCGATTTTAGATTATTGTTTACGCACTCTTACTGTACAGAATTCCTGTTATTTTATAATACAATAATGTGGCAACTCTGTCCTTTGCTCCTCCTCACAAAAGGGTCCTTTGTCGGACAGGTCAACACCAACATTTGTATGTGATGGTTGAGCGTAGGCGAGCATCGTATTTTATAAGTAGGCCCTAGACTATCAAGCGGCTTGATCAAATGCTTGAGCAAATTGATTGTATCAAGCGTGATTGATAGTTTAGAAACCCGTTTGAAGCTTGAAGCAAGCATTGACGGTGATTGATAAAAAGTTTGAATGACTCAAGCGGATGGTCAAGCCGCTTGATAGTCTAGGGCAATTTCCATCAAGCATTGCGTCAGTCAAGCGGTGGAAGGCATGGCGTCCACTTCGGAAAGCGAGGTTCGCGAAAACTCGGAGCGGGAATTCATCAGTTTGTTGATGAATTATATCGCGATTGTCCGGAATTGTGGAAAGTGAAGAGCAAGGATTATTTCAATAGAAATAAAAAAAGTGCGGCGCTAGAAAAAATCGTGGGGGCATTGAAAAAGATAAAACCCGATTTCAGTGTGATACAATTGAAACAAAAAATTAATGTTCTCAGAACAAACTTCAACAGGGAGTTCAAGGCCATCGAGGGTAAAAAAGTGTCAGGGACGTCTACAGACGACATCCCTGAACCTTCGCTTTGGTATTACAATGATATGCACTTCATAAAAGACCAGTTGGAAATCGCACAAACCGAAACTTCTGAGGTAAGAATTTTATTTCATTTTATTTTATTTTTTTTACAGTATTTATAATTATTGTATATCACGAGTAATGTTACACAAGGCAATTGTTTTGCCATGGAACTGACCCAGACGTGTTGAAAAATTTGCAGAAGTCATCCCTTATTCTTTTTGCCTCTACTGTAGAATTGCCTTTGGTTCTTTGAAGTTGTGCCATCTCTTGAATGTCTTGCCTCCATGACCCAGGTTCCACAGCACCAGTCACAATATCGTCTCTGTCAATATCCTGAGGTTGCAAATACTTGGCTCTGTTCTTTGAGCACAAGTAGTTGTGCAAATGGCAACATGCCATTACAATTTTCACAGCTTTCGGTGGTTCTAATTTAATGGCATTTTGAAATATTTTGAATCTCTTCGTTAATATACCAAATGCATTTTCAACAACTCTTCTGGCTCGGGAGAGTCTATAGTTGAAAATCCTTTTCTCGTTCGTCAAAACAGCTCTGTTGTAGGGCTTCATGAATTGAGGGAGAAGT